TTTGTAATGTTTCAGAAAATATACACTATATGTTGATGGGCTTTGTCCCACTTTTCTTTCCTTTATAAGTAAGAATCTCTGTGGTTTTAATGACAATTCATATACAGATTGTGGAGGACATTTTATTCAACACTCAAAAAAGTTCCTCACCAGCAGACTGTAGTACAATTTCAGCCCACCGTTAATAAACCCATCCAATGCAGCGTTATCAGAGAAATTATGCAAGTGTTATGTTTGTATGTACTGGTAATCTATTTATCATTTATCATGATTCCTGCTCTGATGATTACTTTCTTCTCCTTCTGTAATTTTAACAGATAAAGGATGTTGAACATTAAGCTCCAAACAGGATGAATGAGGAAGACCACAGAGGAGAATCGTGGATGTAGTGAAAGAATATATGCAGATGGTTTTTTTCCTGGTGGAGGAGCAACTTCTGATACCATCTTAAAGAAAAAAACACATAAACTTGAAGAGTAAAAATAATGACAACAATATGTCTAAATTTTTTATTAATTTTTAGAGCAAATGCAGTCTTGTCATGGTCAGAGTTGCCCACTCATATTTAACTAATTCAAATACAATTACTCCATTTAAATGCTTATGTTCTAATAAAAGGCATTGTTTAATACTTCTGCCATGACAACCCAAATAAATCAATGAGAGGGAAACGGGAAGATTAGTCATCAGGCAAGGTTTACTGTTCATTTACCATGCCTTGATAACAGTAAGCTTAACAAAAGAAAAATGTTGGCGACGAGAAAAGGTGTTCTGTCAAAACATCCTACCGTAGCGTAAATTTATAGTCTTGTCTATCAATCCGTGCTAACTTATCAGAATATGCTACCTTACGTGGTTAATGGCTCCGTTGTATAGGTAGCGTGTTCAGATGACCCAATCACACTATTAAAACATGCTTCCTGCTGGGATTTATATAGGTAGCGTGTTCAGATGACCCAATCACACTATTAAAACATGCTTCCTGCTGGGATTTATATAGGTAGGGTGTTCAGATGACCCAATCACACTATTAAAACATGCTTCCTGCTGGGATTTATATAGGTAGCGTGTTCAGATGACCCAATCACACTATTAAAACATGCTTCCTGCTGGATTTATATAGGTAGCGTGTTCAGATGACCCAATCACACTATTAAAACATGCTTCCTGCTGGGATTTATATAGGTAGCATGTTCAGATGGCCAAATCACACTATTAAAACATGCTTCCTGCTGGGATTTATATAGGTAGGTGTTCAGATAACCCAATCACACTATTAAAACATGCTTCCTGCTGGATTTATATAGGTAGGTGTTCAGATGACCCAATCACACTATTAAAACATGCTTCCTGCTGGGATTTATATAGGTAGCGTGTTCAGATGGCCAATCACACTATTAAAACATGCTTCCTGCTGGATTTATATAGGTAGCATGTTCAGATGACCCAATCACACTATTAAAACATGCTTCCTGCTTGGATTTATATAGGTAGCATGTTCAGATGGCCCAATCACACTATTAAAACATGCTTCCTGCTGGATTTATATAGGTAGCGTGTTCAGATGGCCAAATCACACTATTAAAACATGCTTCCTGCTGGGATTTATATAGGTAGCGTGTTCAGATGACCCAATCACACTATTAAAACATGCTTCCTGCTGGATTTATATAGGTAGCGTGTTCAGATGGCCCAATCACACTATTAAAACATGCTTCCTGTTGGATTTATATAGGTAGCGTGTTCAGATGACCCAATCACACTATTAAAACATGCTTCCTGCTGGGATTTATATAGGTAGCGTGTTCAGATGACCCAATCACACTATTAAAACATGCTTCCTGCTGGGATTTATATAGGTAGGGTGTTCAGATGGCCCAATCACACTATTAAAACATGCTTCCTGCTGGGATTTATATAGGTAGGATGTTCAGATGGCCCAATCACACTATTAAAACATGTTTCCTGCTGGGATTTATATAGGTAGCGTGTTCAGATGACCCAATCACACTATTAAAACATGCTTCCTGCTGGGATTTATATAGGTAGCATGTTCAGATGACCCAATCACACTATTAAAACATGCTTCCTGCTGGGATTTATATAGGTAGCGTGTTCAGATGACCCAATCACACTATTAAAACATGCTTCCTGCTGGATTTATATAGGTAGCGTGTTCAGATGGCCAATCACACTATTAAAACATGCTTCCTGCTTGGATTTATATAGGTAGCATGTTCAGATGGCCAAATCACACTATACATAACATAAGTGGTGGCTCGTCCGGGATCTTTGGACATTTTAGTGGAGACTGAATGTCAGTTTGTTTTGCTTTAAGTGGGTGAGTGATGGTGTTCAGTGTAATTGAGCAAACTCCCTTTAGTGTGTTTCAGCTGGGTGACTGTGCTGCCCTTCCATCGAAGCACTTGTTTGTTGTTTTGCTTTATTGTTTTAGTTTGTGTTTGGTGGCTATCCTGGGTGGGGTACGCTTCAGAGTTTGGTAGGAGACTATATCTCTGGTCTGCTGCCTGCTCTCGAGTTCGCGTTTAAAGTTGCCTCGAGCCTGGTACACCACTGAAGACTAGGGTAGGGAAAGTAAGGGATTTGTTGTTTTTAGTGTACTTTTGGTTTGTGTTGTAGCAGGTCAGGTAATCATTTGGGTTTGACTGTTGTGCTCTTTTGTGTTGGTCACATGTTACTTTTTGTGTGTTCAGTGTGGCAACTTCAGATCCTCATGTAGGGGCATCCATGCTTAAAGATGCCAACTTGCTTCAGAGGAACTTTTAATTTGTTTAGGGGTCCTAGAGGAACCCTTTTAAGGGAGGAGGTGTTACGTCCCTCTGCAGCTTCTAATCGTCTCAGTGTTTTCAGCTGGTGCTAATTGGCCACACCTAGTCAGGTGTGGATAAAAGCATACCTGAGGCAAGCTTCCCGGCAGTGCACTAGTCTTTGCCTTGGTGGCACCAGCCATTTTAGCCAACCTGGTTTTCCATTTTAGGATGAAACCTCTTCTCACCCACACTCTGCTATTCATCTCTGTTTTTATGTTGCGGCTTTTGAGCCGGGTCGTAACGCTGAAGATTACAAAGATCAACATTAAGACCAGTCTGTGCATTCAAAGCAGTGACAGAAAAGAGTGTGGGGCATTAACCCCCACTCACTGAAATGGCATCCAAGATGCCTTCATAACTTTAAGAAAAGGAAAGAAAAAAGGCAATAAAATGCAACAGCCTTTAAATTTGGTTTTATTTGTAGAGTAAATGTAATAGCGTACATGTTAAATAAACATTTAATTCCCACGAAACATACTAATGATATGGCAGACATCGAAACAGGTAAAAGAAACAATCATATTTATTCATTTTCATTAATTTAAAATACCCTTTACAAAGTATATATATAGAAACATAATCCAACATATGTGGAAAACAAACAAAAAAACCTGACACCCTGCTTTAAACGCACATATATAAAAGTTACTCTTTTAATAATTTCTACTTTGTTGTCCTGATGACGCAGTCGTTCACCTGCATGTGGTGCAATCCAATTAGGCTGTCAGTAGTACTTCAGGTCTCCCAGCCCTTTGCCAGACAGGAGGAGACACCAACCCCCAGGTAACTCAAACAAAGATGTATTAATATAACATAAAACAGAGCTTTGACCTTGCAAGGTTAATATGTGTGCACGCCATATAAACATTGGAAGGTGTGATGGAAAAATGAATACATTTAATAAAGAAACGATATTGAACAATAAATGGAATATTTTAAAGTAGTGACTGTAAATTAAACTAAAGTGAATCAACGGGTGGTGAGGTGTGGAGCTTACCATGTGTGGCATGCCATCACACATGGCAACTGTCATGACCAACTCAGCGTGGAAACCTGAGATGAACCTAAAAAGTAGAAAACTCAGGGTTTTTTTTTTTTAAATAATTTCTACTTTGTTGGCAGTCGCTGTCCTGATGACGCAGTCGTTCACCTGTGGGGGAGAAAACAAAACAAAATTGTCAAAAATGTTAAAGTTACAGTGAAACTTCAAATCCTTGTACAATTCAGTGGTATTTATACTGTAAACTTAATCCCTATGCTGTAAACTGACATGTAACTCTAGGAATCACTCATTTCAGCCACCTTTGCCACCATTTTCCACATTAATTAGAAGAAGAAATGAAATAAATGAATCGATTAGCTCAAAGAAATTCCACTGCAGACGAGTGTTTTGGTGGTTAAACTGCAAAGCAAGCCACGCACATGGTGCAGGCCACTTCTGTGGGCTCTATCAGGGATTTATGTGACTAGTCGACTAATTGTCACTAGTCTGTATCAGGCTTACCAGTCGTTCAATCTAATTGTTAACATTTTAATTGATGCCCAATGCTGGTACATTGTGTTCTAAATGTTAGGCAGCGATCTACCACCAGATGGTGCACTGTTGTTGAGAAACGCCATAAATCTATTAATCTACCCTGATCTTCTTGTTAACACTGAGATCGCAGATACACGCAGAGGAAATTAGTTTCCTGAGAGGTGGAAAACCTCTCCTTTAGGAGAGCAGTTAAGTCAATGGGGGAGGGGCTCAGAGTAGAGTCACTACTCCTTCACATCAAAAGGTGACAGCCACCTTGGCCAGGAGGCTGTTCCAGCTGGGCACGTCCTACCAGTAGGAGGCCCCAGCATCCTTGGTCATGCTAGCCAGTTTACATCTATCAGCTGTGGTCAGGAGTAGTCCTTCCTGCTGCCCCCACAACCTGACTAGAAAACGGCTGTATAATGTATTACCTGAATCATTCTCGCCACACTTAGACGTACTTTTAGATTCTCAAATGATTGTCATATTTTAATAGAACATCTTTTGTAGTAATGCATTTTCATTTGTATTTAACAGAATGTGGTAAATGGTTTAAGATACCTCTGCGTCTAGTTTGACAGTTTCTATTAATCAGTTCTGAAAATTAACTCAATATCTGAATGTTCCTTAGTTTTACATTAGTTGGTTAGTCTAATTATTTCCCCCTCGATTAGTCGACTAGTAAATAAGACGCCAGGAACATCCCTACTCTTCAGACAAAATGTGAGTATGAATTACACACCAAGGTATTAAAATGGATATGGAGTATGGCTTTGGTTTACCATAAACAGCTGATGTAAGGACATCATTAATGTACTCTGTCCAATGAACACTGGAAACAAGACTGCACTGACCTTGCTGGCAAACCTCAATGAGTTCAGAGTTTCCCCAAAGCTGTCGGGCTCCGGAGCAATGTTAACAAACATCAAGCTGCAAATAAAGACATCCAAAATTAGTGCCAAAGAATAAACAGTCACAATCTGAAGTGATGAGATCAAACGCTGTTAAATATTTTTTGGGGATAAATTCCTTCAGTTTTATGTGTCGTCATTATAAAGATTTGTGATGTCAACAAACTCACGTTTTGCCGTTTCCCCCCCAAACATCCCTGAAGGAGGTACGTGAGCTTCGAGTTCCTGTAAGCTACGTAAGTCTCCTGGAACACAAAGGCCAAAAAAATCATTAATACTGTAAATGTAAAGAAAGCAGGTGTGACATCTAAGACTACAGAAACTGCAGCTGCAGACCTTTTTGGCCAGAGCGGCGATAACGACGCCCAGGTTGGACAGTGAGCTGTTGATGGCGGTCATCTCTTTGAAACGGTCACCCTGAGACTGGCTCTTCACCATTCGCTCACTGCCAGCCAAGTCCACCAGGCACAGAGTGGCTACACACACAGAGAAAACCAACTCTTATAGGAAGCAGTGATCCGTTTTTCCTTCCATTAAAGGTAGTTTTAATACTTTACAAAACACTTCTTTTAGCGCTCAGGGGCTCAAACATTAACGTTGAGTCATCAGAGCAGATTTTGCACTGGTTACAGTAACAATAACTAACCAGACTAAATATTATAGATCCAAAAACAAGAAACCACATTCCTGATGCTGGTACTTCCAGTGTGATTATACTCATGTTACGACCCGGCTCAAAAGCCGCAACATAAAAACAGAGATGAATAGCAGAGTGTGGGTGAGAAGAGGTTTCATCCTAAAATGGAAAACCAGGTTGGCTAAAATGGCTGGTGCCACCAAGGCAAAGACTAGTGCACTGCTGGGAAGCTTGCCTCAGGTATGCTTTTATCCACACCTGACTAGGTGTGGCCAATTAGCACCAGCTGAAAACACTGAGACGATTAGAAGCTGCAGAGGGACGTAACATTCAGTATTGATATTTGTAAATGTAAACTATGAGGATTTATTTATTTTTAATTCTTTTCTTTTTTTTTCTTTTTTTTCCCTCTTTTTTTCTTTTTCCAAATAAATGTCCCGATTGAGTAATGAAACTAACCCAAAGGAGAATTCTAACAATATTAGACAGGCCATTCAATATGCTTTATCGTGGACAACTCGTGGCTAAAAACCCACACACACACACACACACACACACAAACCTCTAATCAAACATGAAAACGGATAATCCAGCTGAAGCTTCAGACAGCCGTCAGACAGTGAAACACTGCCATCTGCTGGACTCGAATAACAAAGACGCTGCTTTGACGGGTGAGGGAGTTTCAACAAGTCTGCAACGACTCAAGCATCAAACTACAGAACTATTCTAGCGGACATGGTGCTCTAATGACTGCTTCATTAACGCAGGTCAGAAAGGATCAAACATATCAATAAATCATAAAACACAAAACGTCTCTTATTGCCCAGGGCTCAGGAAGTGAGTGTGTTCCTTATAGCCTATTAAACCTTAGCAGGTTATTTTGATGTGTTACAGATGAAACAGCTATCCAGTAACATTCAGCTACAAAAACGCTTTTTTATAATTACTTTTTTACAGCTTCGCACTTTTACACAAGTTTTATCATCAGTGTCACAATGGCTGCTGCTAAAATTGAGTACAAGATATTTGTTGGCCTGATTAAAAGGTCTTGATGCGTGCTCAATCATCAGGGAAGTAAATCTCCAAAAGTTGATTCTGTTCTTCTGGACGTAGCGTTTTCAGTCAGAGAAACCAGCCGACTGAAGGAACAATGGGCTGGGAGGTCAGTTCCTTAATCATGATTATGCAAATTCTCATGACCATTGATCAACAACCACTGATCAATGGTCCTGAGTACCATTCACAGAGAGTTGGAGAACGGCTGCAATCACAGCATTGTAAGATGGTGACAGATGTACCCTTAGGCCCCCTCCTTGATTCAGAGAGGGTCTTTCCCTTTTCACGTAAATGGCCTCCTTGACTCCGCCCTCAAACCAGCGTTCATTGCAGTTATTGTTGACAATCACATTGTGTCGTGTAACCATCCAGCTCACATATTCAATGTAAATGATTTGTTGAACTGAAGACATGATGAATGTTCCTGCATTAAAACACATCCAGCCTAGTGTTCTCACTCTCCCTAAATGGATCTGTTACATTAGTGATATATGGGAGTTGTGTTTCAGTCTTTTCCACATGAGGACATTTACATTTAGTTTTTGCTTTACTGATGAGTGGCTGGTTAACCTGCAGTGGTTGAAGTATGTGTCGGTCGTCTGGAAGAGTAGGTGTAGAAGACGTCTTTAATGAATGTAATGCTCTGAAGGTGTCAGTGATTACTGTGAATTCATTATAAAAGTGGATTTCAGTGAATAAAGTGAATAAAGACAGGCCCTCATGGTGACGCTCAGGTGTCCATAAAGTGTAACAGGAGAGCTTTGTCATACTTTCAGAGATTTTACATGAGCCAGTCTTTCAAAAATTACATAAATAAATAATTCATTCATTCATCCACAGGAAACACAATGCTCATATCTGAAAGTAAACTCTGATATATATCCCCGACTAGAGTTACTACTAAATAAAGGATCGCCCCAAAATGACTAAATATATAAAGACACTCTCCAGAAGAAGTTAAAGGGATTTTATTTATTGTACAAGCAATATCTTCATAAGAATTACAAATTCTGCAGATATATTACCTTCTTACTGAACCTGAACAACTCACACACAGACGTGTCTGCTGCTTATCTTTGTTCAAACATGATGTTTTATCTTCTCTTCAAAACACATTACTCATCTTTCTGGCATCGTGTTACATGAAAACACCTGCATTCTACCTGTGTCATTGTACCACAAAGACAATGATTGCAACACTGTGCTTGCAAAATAGAAGAAATAAGACGACCAGCAAATACATAAAAGATGGTAAAAGTGATTCCATCTTTGTGTCTCCTCCCATTGTTTCCCCAGTCTGTCTAGTTCCCATATTCCCAGGACACCGCTGGACAACAAGTGGGTATTCCAAGACTGAGAGACAGCCAGAGTTGGCAAAAGATCAGACATTCTCCACTTAAGTAGAAGTAAAAATACTATTGTTCCAGTGAAAGTTAAAGTACTGATTCAACTTCATTACTCAGCTAAAGCAAAAAAGTACAGGCTCGAAGCGCTTACAGAGAAAAGCAGACAACAGAATACAACAGAATGCTGATGGCGGCAGTAACACACACTTGGAGGAGAGGCTCCAGCCGTCCATTCCAGCCCTATCCCTAACATTAACTCTAACCATAACTTTAACCTTAACCCTATCAGGTCTTGTTTTACAAAGCGATTCATGATTAGAACAAAAAACACATTTACACATACCGATGATTTGTCACATAGCATCGTTACCTGTTGGGATGAGAACGTGTTGTTTCCAGAGCACCACAAATTGGGGTGTCTGTAGCTCAGGTAGAGCAGGAAACCTACTAATCAGAAAGTTGCTGGTTCAATCCCCGCCTGCTCCAGCCTGCATGCCAAATATCCTTGGGCAAGATGCTAACCCCAAGTTGCTCTCCGATGCATCCATCGGGAGGATGAATGCGTATTAATGTTAGATAGAAAGCACTTACAGAGAAAAAGCATAGAAAAAAGTGAGTGCATGAATGAGGCAAGTTGTAGAGAGTAGAAAGGTTTTATACAAGAACCAGTTCATTTACCGTTATATTTTAGTTTCATTTTCAGTTCTGTACTTTTTACATGTAATATTGATTCATTAGATTGACTACATGTATTAGACCTAACTTGCTGACAGCAAATTTAAACAACCGTAATAATTTATTTTCAGCGTCTGAAATATTTATTTAGTTTGTTTTTTGTTTTCTTTTTGGCTCCTGATATTAGTCAACTACTATTTGTCAATGTTGAACTAATAATGAATCTAAGAAAAGCTATTTGTCACGGTTGGCCAGCGTCAACCGTGGGGATGTGAGGAAGGAGGAGCCAGGCACGGAGCTCTGAATGCAAGCAGTGCGTTTATTTACAGTGAATGGAAAATAACAATAAATCCGCAGTGCGTTCCCGACTCCCGTGAAATGTCCTCTTCCCAGTGCTAGTGTTCCTTGTCTCCGCTCCTCAGTGTCTGAGCACCCCGTGCTCGCTGCCCTCTCGTCTCCACGCTTCTCCTGGGGAGATAACAAACAGGCAGCCGTAAGACACATACAATGCGGCAGACTATCCGTACTGACTGGCCGAGAGACTAACGTGAAGTCACGCAATGATCCAGCGTCAGAGAGAGCGCCACCGCATTCTTAAGTAGCTCCTCCGACAAGGCTTGATCAGCTGTGTGATGGTCTTCAAGTGTGGCCAACCACCTGGCAGGGCCACACCCACCAGGCCTGAAGGTGCCTGTAAACAGGTGCTCTCAGAAACTCCGGCATCCACACACACACACACAGATATACCTGCAAGCAGGGAGAACGAGGGACAGCACACCAAAAACACACATGTCCATAACTGCTGGGTCGTTTAGACTCCTGAGCTGTGCACGAGGGGTCGAACACCCACTGGAAGGCCGGGCACTGGTTTTCAACCGTAATATACCTGATGTGCTCAGGTAACCTGTAGCGCCATGAAACCACTGTCACACCAGGGCGCATAAAAAATGATGCTTTAAGAGACTGATGGGATCGGGCAGCAGGGAAAACATCCACAAAATGCTACTTTCAGTTTGACTCCCTAAGACTACCTAAACTAAGTAGAGTCATTACATGCTTGTTAAAAGCAAACTCTCATATAGTTTTTAATGTGCTTCTTTCATTACAATGACTAGATAAAGAATGTGGCCCTGTCTCTATTTAACACTGGCTACCCCAAAATGTTTCCAAACCTACAACCGTAACTTTCACTGAGAGATTTTTAGATACGGTTATTGAAGCTGTGGGGTTAATTTTTTAAGTAACATGAGAGAGAGGCAGCAGCATACTGTTAGATTATAATATTATTTTATGCCATGTTATACCCCAACTAAAGATTGTGAATTATTATGTAGTTTTAGTTTGCATTATTCTCCTGAATTAGAAGAAGCTGATAACTATTGCATTAGTTAAACTGATTTGCATTACATTAGACTGCTGATTTATTGTGGATGAATGATATTGTTTTATGATGCATAATACTGCTGCAGAAAGCCATCGCCTTATTTGTCTGATTAGAAGAGAACAGAGCATGCTGGAGTTTTCTGCCCCAACTCAGCAGGAGCAGATAAACGGGGAGCCAAGGTCGTAGCTTAGGCGCCGTGTGAGAGAAAAGCATGTGAATGTTTAGGCTTTTATGATAAGGTGGAGGCACCAGAGGCTATAAGAGTTTGAGCAATGCTCCACCATTTTGAGATCTGAGGCTGTCTGCATCAGTGTCCATCTCCCACGCGTGTGATCATTAAAATCATCGTTTGACTTAACCCGGCCGGACCAGTGTTGTTATTGTGGTTTTTTTCTCTTGTCTCTTGTCTCCATCCCCATATTTTGAACCATAACAATACACACAGAGCATCAGTGATAGAAAGCTAGGCTAACATAGGGTAGCTACCTGTTCAAGGAGAAACATGTATAGGCCCATCTCAAGTGCCAGTGAACATCTAAACGATTCAGGGAAGACTTTGG